GCCATACATGCCCACGCCATGACACTACCACCACCATGCTTCACTGCTTAGGATCATGAGAAGTTCCTTTTCTTCTCCATACTCTTCTCTTCCCATCACTCGGGTACAAGTGGATCTTGATATTATCTGTCCATAGAATGTTGTTCCAGCACTGTGAAGGCTTTTTTAGAACTCTAATCTGGCCTTTCTGTTTTTGGGCTCACCAATGGTTTACATCTTGTGGTGAACCCTCTGAATTTACTCTGGTATAGTCTTCTCTAGATTGTTGACTTCGACAGACATTCACCTACCTTCTGGAGAGTGTTCTTGATCAGGCCAATTGTTGTGAAGGGTGTTTTCATCATCAGGGAAAAAAATCTTTGGTCGTCCACCACAGCTGTTTTAGTGGTCCTCTGGGGTTTTTTTTGGTGTTGCTGAGCTCACTGGTGAGTTCTTTCTTTTTAAGAATGTCCTCAACAGTTGTTTTGGCCACGCCTAATGTTTTTGCCATCTCTCTGATCAGTTTGTTATGTTATTACAGTCTAACGATGGCTTGCTTGACTGATAGTGACAGTTCTTTGGATCTCATCTTGAGAGTTGACACTAGCAGATTCCAAATGCAAATAGCACACTTGGGGCCCTATCATACACCCGGCGCAATGTGGCGCAAGGAGCGACGCAATTGTTATTTGCTAGTTTCAGTTCGGCGCAAGAATCGTTTTGACATTTTGCGCCAAGCTGTTTAAATAGCAAATGCATTTGCGCTCATATGTGCGCCCATAGTCGTTCTGTTCTAAAAAAAGCAGGCGTGTTTTGGCGCGTTGCTATTTGGAGAAACTGTAATAGTCTGTTCTTTAGACCAAAACAAAGGTGGTCTAAAGTCTGGCTTTGCTTACACACTGCTTAATACACACAAGATGTAGAGCAATACGCTAATATCTTTACATATGAAAAATAATTAAAATATTCAGGATATATATAGGATATAATAAGGATATATATAGGTGTTACATCCTTTGGATGTATCTATTATTATTATTGTTGTTTATTTATGTGTTTACTGCCCATTGGGAGTGGTTATGTTGTGTATTTTCTCTTTTACTTTCACTGTGTGTCTCTGCCTGCCCACTAGGTAGAGCTGATTGGGCCCAGGTGGTGCTCATCATTGGAGCGTGCTGCAGTAATGCGCTGCCACAAAAGAGCAGTGCGTCTCAAACCACGGAGAGGTTAATTTCTCCCCTGCTTCAGACTCGTGATTGTTGTGGTCATACGTTGTGGGTGTTAATCTGGTTGGTTATAAAAAGGAGTTTAATGGGCTATTGAGTTCAATTTGACTTCTGTGTGTTGGGAAACTTGTTTGTTTTTGCGTTGTGGAATTTTACAGGCAGTGTGTCTGTTTTCTTAGTTGTTATTTAAATACATATATTCTTTTGTGTGTGTGGTATGTAAAAGGTAATTGTTTCTTTGTCTGACATTTTGATTTAAAAATTGAAGTTGTAGGGAGAGGGTGCCATTTTTTTATTTTTGTAATTGTTCGACTGTGTTTATTCATAGTAAGGGAGTTGAGGAAAGCCTTTGTTGTTTCATTTCTTTTCTTTTACCTGAAATTAGGTTATTTAGTACTCCTCCTGGGGACTGTTTCAGAAAGGAGGTTAACTGAAAACTCAGAGTATATTAACCCTGAAATGAGAGAAACTCTGGGTTTTCCGTTTCAAAATGGCAGGTTTGTTAAACTCGATAAAGCAGGGTAATTTAAGCCTGTTTTTGAAAGAGAGGTAACTTTAACTTAGAGTCAGTTACTGTGGTAACTTACTCTGTGAATCTAATCTGGTCAGAAGCAGGTTTTATTCTCTAAACTCAGAGTTTCTGTCTGTCTCCTCCCCTTTTTTAAAGATGAAGCGGTATTTCTCGCCTTAGCCTTACGTTTCCACCCACCTATTTTAATGCTCATTTTGGATATGTGCATAAAAACGATTGATAGAAACGTGATGCACATAACTTTTTAAAATATGCATAAAAAATGCGCATAACTAAGTAGGATAAACTTTTATTCGATAGAAAATGTGCTCATAAACTACGATGGAAACACTTTTACTGAACAAATTACAGTATGTACATTAAAAAAAAGCTCATGATCATTTGATAATGAAAATGTGTGTAAATGGACAAACAGCAGGCTGAGCACACTGTAACACGTCTTAAATATTGTTTTAGTCATTCTAAAATGCCTTAACTGTTTCAGTATTAGTGTATATTATTAATTACCTCCGAACGTCTGGTGCGTGTCAAGAGTCTCCGCGTCTCATGGCTTCAGACGCCCCTACGTGTTCATTGTGTTTCAGCATTGTCTTCTGACATCGAGGGGCAAGTACATTAATTAGGCTAAATAAAGAATTAATTGACGCAGCTTCTTCTACCACAGTAAATTCTGTTTTTACTGTTGATATTTGGTGCCAGTTTAAACAGGAAGTGACAATTTTTTTCTCTTTGACTCGTTGGATGGAATTTTATTCGCATCTTTTATGCAATATTCCAGTTTTGCACATACATTTATGTAATATATTTGGATGGAAACATAGCTATTGCCTACATTTTAGTCACACACAGAAGAACTGTACTAGAATGGCTTATCCTTTTTTAATAAATAATTAAATTAAATTCACCTTCGACATGCACTTTAACTAGATTAATGGGATTATTATTCTTTCTAAAAATTATTTTTAGTACTGCTTACCTTCTAAATGTTATATTAACCTCTATCACTTGATCAATAAAAAAGGCAGACACACAAGTGCACTGTTAAATCATTTAAAACTAATAAATGTATATAAAAAGTTTAGAAAAAAAATATAAACGTCACAAATTACATTGCTTATTTTATTATACTTAAATATTTTAAAACTTAAAAAGTGAAATTAGGCATTAACTTGAGCAGCTGTTTTCCCACGCTAACTGTCTCTTCTTCACTGATGGTTGCTTCTTTTCAAATATATACACTCATATTTGCTATAACTTTATATGAGAACATCTAGTTCAGCTGGAGAAAGAAATGGTGATCTCTTTTATAAGATACTGCCATAGTCACTCATAATGTCTGCGCTCCATTGATAATGCCTTTTTAAAGTCACGGTGTGCGCGATTAACTCTGAGTTTGTCTACTCGAAGTTGATTGACTTAACTCAGATAAGCTGTTCTGAAACCGAAAACTCAGAGTTTTTAATCTCTCTGTAAATCAACTCAGAGTTCAAGTTTAAACTGTTGTTTGAACCTCCTTACTGAAACAGGCCCCTGAGCTAGACCTGTTTTGTTTGTTGTTTTGGTTAATCCTTCTCCTGAAGATTTATGCTTCCTTTATTGTTTATTGATTAAGAACCAAATAATAAAATAATTTAAGTTTACTCTTGTGGTTGTTTCACATTTCTGAGGCAGGATTGAAGTGTTCCCTCAATATTTGTTTATTTAATTTATACACAAGTCATTAATTTGGTCTTCTTTTTCTCAAATTCAAAATTTTAATTTTCTTTATTTTCCTTCCCCAACCCTAGACCAAAAAGGGGAAGGGACGTAACAATAGGATATGAATATAAATGATTAAAATATTACAAAATATATTATTTTCTAGCCTACATAAATTTGAAAACCACTGCCTTCAATCCTTCTTCATCTCGGGGGGCGTTTTCAGTTCATTCAATTTGCTTTTGTACAATGTTGTTATTATTATTATTAGCAGTATTATTTATTATATCCATATTTATATTTGTTCTATTAAAAACAAGCTTAGATTTGTCCACCTGCAGGTTTTAGACCATATGGGGCACAGCAACAGTGTTTGGATATAACTGGATATATATTTGGACCTCACTTCGTTATTATTGTTCATTTATTCGTTTGCTGGAAATTAGAACTGAATTTAGAAATAGTTTTGAAACAAATCTTTGCACTTAACAAACTAAATTAATTATTTATAGGCTAACTGATGTCTGTGCATACAAGGTTTCCCTATACGCGAGAGCGAAAGTGAATTATGAGATGCCTTATCTCTCATTCTCGCCCTAAAGATGCTCTGTTTAACTGTTTTCTTGCAAGTGAAATGCTCAGTTTTTACACATACTTTAAGTCATGTAAATAGCAAATGCACTTATGGCGCGACGCAACTGACTCTTAAAGGGAATGGGAGATGAGACTCTGATTGGTTTATTCTCAAAGCACACCTATAACTCATTAAGAAAATAAACTCAACCCTTTTAGACCATGCGCCACAGCGAAATTTTCCCGTCTTTAAAATAGCAAAAGAGGATTCTGACATGCCCTGAATGTGTTTGCAACCTTTCTGTTTTGCTCCTGGACCGTCAAAATAGAGCCCTTGAACTCTGAACCTTTTATATGCTCATTGTAATTGAAATATGGAGGGAATAACACACACCTGGCCATGGAACAGCTTAGAAGCCAATTGTCCAATTACTTTTGGACCCTGAACAAGTGGGAGGCACATATGCAAACTGTTGTAATTTCTACAGCATTTACCTGATTTGGATGTAAATACCCTCAAACTAAAGCTGACAGTCTGCAGTTGAGTCTTGTTTCTTTCATTTCAAATCCATCTTGTTGGTGTATAGAACAAAAATGTTATAATTGTGTCAATGTCCTAATATTTACGAACATAACTGTGTACTTTTTAACTTGTAAATCTTTAGTTTTATTTTTTTGAGAGAAATGTAGTAAAATTATAATTAAAACCTTTGTGACAACAAAAGTTTATTGTATTGTACTTTTCCTCCATAGTTACTGAGATATAGCAGTATTAAATCCTATAGTTTATCAGATGTTTTGACAAAACTTCTTTTGTATTTCATAGCAAACTTTTTACAGATTATACATTATGTAAATAGAATCACGCTTTATTATTAGAGCAAACAAACTATAATTTAAAGTATTATGTGTGCTTGTGTATTTTTCTGCACATAAAGAGCTTCTGTTTAGATTCTTGCACATTTATTATTAAAAGGAGAAGTGGAAGAATGTAACAATGGTCTGTCTGTTTATTGCCTTGTTGTAGAGGTTTTGTTGACATGGAGACAAAAATACATTTGGCAGTAGGTCATGACATTCTGGGACACAATCTTAGAGGCGTTCAGTAAAGAAGAAACAGCGAGAAAACAACTAAAAAACCAACAGGACTGTCCTTAAAAGACTCTAAAGACGACAACATCAAGATCAGAAGATACAGACACAATGTTCGGCCCAACGTTGAACATCAGACAAAAATGGGCGAATGACATGTTACAAAACACCTTAAACAAAACAATCTGCGCACACTGATATGGACTTTTGCATAAGAGAGAGAGATCTCTTGGATATTAAAACAAGCAAATAAATGGTTAGGAGATCAGGATGCATGCCCAGCAAACAATTTTGTGTTTAATAGACCTTTAATCAAAGACTATAGAATACACAAGACATGTCTTTTTGAATGGGGAAAAGTGTAATGGTCAATATGACAAATAAAGCCCGACTTCTAGTACAGGAGCCAATCATCAATTGCTACATGGCGAATAAAGCCCGCCCTAGTACAGTAGTCAATCATCTATCACTATATAGTGAATAAAGCCCGCCTTCTAGTACAGGAGCCAATTATCGATCACTAAATGGCGAATAAAGCCTGCCTTGTAGTTAATGAGCCAATCATTGATCACTATATAGTGAATAAAGCATGTCTTCTAGTAAAGGAGCCAATCATCGATCACTAAATGGCGAATAAATCCTGCCTTCTAGTACAGGAGCCAATCATCGATCGCTAAATGGCGAATAAATCCTGCCTTCTAGTACAGGAGCCAATCATCGATCACTAAATGGCGAATAAATCCTGCCTTCTAGTACAGGAGCCAATCATCGATCGCTAAATGGTGAATAAATCCTGCCTTCTAGTACAGGAGCCAATCATCGATCGCTATATGGCGAATAAAGCCCGCCTTCTAGTACAGGAGGCAATCATCGATCGCTATATGGCAGTTCGACAGTTAAAGAGACAGTTGTGTTATTTTATTGGTGATTTGCAATATGAAATTCACTCGTAAGCTTGACAAGCAGTTATAAAGAATTTGACGTTTCCCCATTCAAACAGAATGCCCAAGGATACTGACCGAGAGGTGCTTTAAAAATGGCCGCCGAGTGAAATGACTTGCCTTAAAGGGACTTTGGTCTAATAGACATCTAATTGCAGACACCTTGGCTAAACTTGGACTGTCAATAAAAATCGAATAGACGTCTATGAATAGTCCAAAACTAGACCAGTCGTCAAATAGACCGATTAGACAGACTTTTTATGTGTAGTCATTCATGTCTGTTTATTTAACGACTGGTCTAGTTTTGGCCTATTATTAGATTTCTATTTGATTTTCATTGACAGCCCAAGTTTAGCCTTGTTCTAGCAAAGGCGACTGTGTTTAGACGTCTATTAGACATCTTTTAAAAACAAAAAGTGCTTGCTGGGTGTAAACAGTTTTGTGGTTCACGGTTTGAGGATCTAGAAAGTTCTACATGAGCCCTTGGCCTGGTAAACTCTTGTCAGGTAAGTCCTTCATTTGAGTATAAATCAAAACATCACAGTACATTCAGGAACTACAAAAACGAAAGAGTAGGAACACGTGTAAAAAACAACTACAATAATAAATAAAAAATGTGGCTTCTGGATAGCCAAGGTTCTCATCGTTTGGACTCCAAAACAGTAAGTTTTATTAAAAACATACAAATACTAAAATAAATAAGTACTCTTCCCTTTGAGTTTAAGTAGAAAAAACATCTTGCATCGTGTTCACAAAAAAGAGAGGTTGGGGCAAACTGTGCTTTTGTGGGAAGAAGCTCTTTTTGTTGGTCAATCCAAATGCATATCTTCATTCTGGCTCACATCAGTCATCTTAGATATCAATCACACGCACACACACGCACACACACACACGCACACACACACACACACACACTCGTATAGTGATGTTCTGAAGGTGCCCTCAGTAAACCCAGCTCACTGGAACCCACTGTGGTTCAGTACACAGTTCCTCCACAGATGACTGCAGCTTCTCGAACGCACAGTCTAAGTTGTCATTGACAATGATGAGGTCAAAGTAGTGTCTGTAAGCCCGCAGGATACGAGCGCTTTCATCCACTGTCTTCTTCAGGTCCACATCCTGTCACAGACAGAACTCAATTATTACTTGCATTAGGTGATTTTGATGCAGAACAAAAACATTCAGTGGGATCTTTATAAATAAAACATTGGATTTTGTCACTTTCAGAAAATTGTCTCCATGTTTTCTGAGTAAGTAATAGTAATACGAAGCTTGGATTTAAAGTGGCATGTGACTTTACTAGGGCACATATACAGTAGTCAACGTTTGAAGTGGATCATCACCTTGCACAAACTATTGAACAACACTCATTCTTAGGACAATTTGGAAAACTTTTGATCCACTTCAAATAAAGCCCACTGTATCTGCACGGAGCAAGACTTCGACCAATAAAATATCGAACCAAATGCTCCATTCACTGAAGTTTAGTCACTTAACTACACTCAGTCACTTAAAAGAAGCCATATCCGTAGTAAAAAAAAAAAAACTTTGGTTTATCTTACAAATAAGCAGTATGTGCACACAAAAGTATTTTTCCCAGTATATCATATCTTCGGAAAAAAGAAACTCAAACAGGTTTGGCACTAGTGGAGGACGGATGGATGGATGGATGGATGGATGGATGATGACAGAATTTTTATTTTGGGGTGAACTTGCTTTTCAATTAAATATACACTCAACGGTCAATTTATTAGGTACATCTGTCAAGCTGTTTTTTAAAGCACATTTCTTATCAGTCAATCACATGGCAGAGACTCTTTAGGCATGTAGATATGGTCAAGATGATCTGTTGCAGTTCAAACCAAGCATCAGAAGGGGGAAGAAATGTGATTTAAGCGACTTTGAATGTGGCATGGTTGTTGGTGCCAGATGGGCTGGTCTGAGTATTTCAGAAACTGCTGATCTACTGGGATTTTCACACACAATCATCTCATAGAATTTACTGAGAATGGTCTGAAAAAGAGAAAATGTCCTGTGAGCAGCAGTTCTGTGTGTGCGAATGCCTTGTTGATGCCAGAGGTCAGAGGAGAATGGTCAGACTGGTTTAAGCTGATAGAAAGGCAACAGTAACTCAAATATCCACTCGTTATAAAAGAGGTTTGCAGGAGAGCATCTCTGAATGCACAACACGTCCAACCTTGAGGTAGATGGGCTAAGGCAGCAGAAGACCACACTGGGTGCCACTCCTGCCAGCTAAGAACAGGAAACTGAGGCTACAATTCACATAGGCTCACCAAAATTGGACAATAGAAGATTGGAAAAACGTTTCCTGGTCTTGTAAGTCTCGATTTCTGCTGCACCATTCTGAGGGTAGAGTCAGAACTTGGCATCACCAACATGAAAGCATGGCTTCATCCTGACTTGTATCAATGGCTTGTGGTGGTGGTGTAATGGTGTGGAGGATATTTTCATAGCACACTTTGAGCCCATACGTACCAATTGAGCATCGGTTCAATGCCACAACCTATCTGAGTATTGTTGCTGACCATGTCATCTCAAATCATCTCAAACTGCTTTCCTTGACATGAAAATGAGTTCACTTTACTCAAATGGCCTCCACAGTCACCGGATCTCAATCAAATGGAGAATCTTTGGGATGTGGTGGAATGGGAGATTCGCATAATGGATGTGCAGCTGACAAATCTGCAGCAACTGTGTGATGCTATCATGTTAATATGGACCAAAATCTCTGAGGAATATTTTGAGTACCTGGTTCAATCGATGCCATGACGTATTAAGGCAGTTCTGAAGGCAAAAGGGGGTCCAACCTGGTACTAGTAGAGTGAACCTAATAAAGTGGCCGGTGAGTGTATGTTTAATGTAATAATATAGTTTGTAGAAGGCATAGTACCCAAACAACTTAAATCAAAATAATTGGTCTGACCATTATGATAGGCTGTTTTGAACGCCAGTCAACACTATTTATACACACATACACTCATTTGTTTAACAACATATTTGATTTATATTTAAATTGGCAAGTTTGTTTATCTACACATACAATATTGTGTATGGTAATAGACCTGTACATCCAATCAAGGCCAAAATTATGAATACCCCAGGGGTACATTTTAATTCTCTTTTTACTTTTTTTATTTGTTTGTTATCTTTGTCAATGTACAAAACTGCAAAAAATGTAGCACTGCAATAAAATAATTCTCTCAGATCAAGCACATGGTAGCCTTTACTAAAAAATGTAAGAAGTCACACACCCCTCTATTTTTGGTAAGAGTTTTTGAAGTTCTCACAACACTCCTATATCAGGTTAATTGTCAACTATTAGCATACTTATGTATTAAATTGTTGTTACTTGATTTTAAATTTAGCAGCAAATTAAAGTAGCAAAAAGGAAAAGCTACATTGTGTCATACATAGGGAGAGAGAGAGAGAGAGAGAGAGAGAGAGAGAGAGAGAGAGAGAGAGAGAGAGAGAGAGAGAGAGAGAGAGAGAGAGAGAGAGAGTTTTAATTTTATTGCCATTTCAGCTTCTATGGCTATGTCATGGCAAAAAGAAAATAGATCAAGTTTATCACGTTTTATAAATACCAATTTTCTATAATTATAAAAATATTTTAACATTAGTAATCAACAGCAATAAATAATGTCCAAGGTAAAATACATAAATAACAATAATGATAATATATAAGATAAAAATCTAAAACATTTTTTTGAGGTTTCCTTTTGATAAAATTTGTACAATTTTAGATGGCTTCACATTTAAAAATATTTCCTTTAAAGTCTCCAGATAAATATTGTTGTCTGATAACATTAGAAATGGGGCATTCAACAAGAATATGTTTAACAGTTTGGTTTCTGTTGCAATATAGACATTTTGGTGGTTCTTCTCCTTAAAGTAAATGTTGTGTCATACATAGGTTGTTTAAAACCATGTTATTCTAGTGAAGTAGCCTAGTAGTATGTGACTCATTAGAAACCACGGCAGGCATAAATGTTGAAGCAGGTTTGTAACACATCTCACCAAGTAGGAAATGGTATCAGGATGTGCTGCCACCACAAATAGCATATGTTGTGTGGCTGGTTTTAACCCATAACCCAACACCAATGCAACTCATTTCGAGATCTAGTTTAGCTTTAAAATAGCAGACCTGGAGGAAGTTTCAGAATAACTCACTGCGAGTTGTTTGGTGGTCAGTCCTGCATCCACCACAGCTTTGTGCATATCCTTCAGCGTGTCGAACTCTGGCGCTGCAATGAACACGACATACGGCATGAACTCTGGTGTTTTTAACAGCTTCAGAGCCTGAGGAGAGAGCATGTACAAAGAGTTGACTTGTAGGAAGCACAAATAAAAAAAGGCATTTCCATGCACAGAATGGATTTTGATCATTACACACAATAGCACAGGTGCCAAACTCAGTACCTGGAGGGCCACAGCTCTGCGCAGTTTAGCTTTAACCCTCATTAAACACACTTGATTAAACTAATGGAGTCCTTCAGGCTTGTTTAAAACTTACAGGTAAATGTGTTTAAGGTAACTCATGATCATAATGAAAGGCTATACTATACATTCATTTTCCTTCGGGTTAGTCACTTTATTCAACGGGGTCGCCACAGTGGAATGAACCACCAACTTATGCAGCATATGTTTTACACAGCGAATGCCTTTTGAGCTGCAACACAGTACTGGGAAACAAGGCTTTAATATGTCAAACAAAATTTTTGTATTTATCATTTTGTGAACTCATGGAAGAACTTCAACACTGCTTCTCATGTGGAGTCCCTAAGTGTTCATGTGATGTTGACTGATAAACTGACCTAGTTTGTGGTGTGTTTATGTAAAGGTTGTGTTTATTTACTCAATTAGCGGTTAAAATTGGTTATACTCTTCTGACCTTCAATGGTAGCCACAATGTGGAGAGATTAATTTGATGCTCAATAAAAAGTTTTACGTAAGTGAGAAATGTTAAAATAAATAAATAAACAAATGAATGTTCACATGAATAAATAAATGAATAAATAAATAAATGTTTAAATGAATAAATGAACAAATAAATGAATGTAAAATTGGATGAATGAATAAATGAATGAATGAGTAATTGATCAAATGAACGAATAAATTACCCATATAATGAATGAATGCTTAAAAAATGAATGAATGAATGAATGGATTAATGATTGAATGAATGGATGAATATGTGAATATATGAAAGAATAAATTAACAAATGAATGAATTAATTAATAAATGAATGAATAAATGAACAAATGAATGTATGAATGAATGAATGAATGAATGAGTTAATAAACTAATCTTAAAATGAATCAATAAATAAATGAATTTTAAATTAATAAATAAATGAATGACTGAATGAATAAATAAATAGATGAATACATAAATAAATAAATGAACAAATAGATGAATGACTAAATGAATGAATCAATTACGGATAAATTAATAAATGAATAAATGAGTAAATTATTAAACAAATAAATGAATTACCCAAATAATGAATGAATGATTAAATGAATTCATAAATGGATGAATGAATGAATGAATGAATGAAAGAATAAATTAATGACTGAATGAATGAATACATGAATGAAAGAATAAATGACTGAATAAATGAATAAGTAAATTAATAAAGGAATGAATGAATGAATAAAAAGGATGAATGAATTAATGAATAAATGAGTTAATTAACGAATGATTAAATGAGTAAATAAACTAATGTTACAATAAATGAATTAATAAATAAATGAATGTTTAAATGAATAAATAAGTGAATGACTGAATAAATGAATGGATGAATAAATGAACAAATAAATGAACGAACGAACAAATGAATGAATAAATGAATGAATGAATGAATGAATGAACGAACAGACGAATAGATGCCGCAAATGATATGAATAAGTTTGGATTATTACAAACATTTGTGGCAACATCTGAGTAAACTGACAATTTAAAAACTAGAACCTGCCGTTTTTATTTTGTACTACAACAAGTTTGTGCAGAGTGAGGTGGCACACAGGTGTCTCTCTATCACAGTAGCAGTCATGTGTTATCGTAACTATCAAAGAAAGCACAAAAGAGGAAACCAGTGTATTGCTAATTCATGATCAGCCTATAAAGTGGCCTACATCATAGTTTCCCCACTCTGTAAAAAACCTGTTTCCACCACCATGTGCTCACTTCCTGTTTTTTTAAATATATCTGTATTGGAGTGCAAGTGCTATCTAGTTCTATCATGTGATGGTTAAAACATGTTTTATGCATTTTATGTAGGATAACACAACATTACATGACATATAATACACAAAAAGCATTAAACACATCTTACGGGCTGGATGCATCAACATTAAATAGTCCAAAGAGAACCTTTGTTATTATGGTGATACATTAGGTGCTTTGTTGTATTTTTGGTTTTGGTTTTGATTATCTTATGTCCAAAACTGCCACTTTTCACAACACATAAATGTTTTTTTCCAAAATGAAGAGGGAATTCAATCCAAAGCCAAAACCTTGTCATATAACAGATGAAGTTATTTGCACAATTTAAGACAATATTGGCTAACTAGAAGCCAATACTAATGCTAAGCTAAAATGCACAGTGTGTTCTCTCTCTTCATTGTTTCCACATCCATCCATTCATCCATCCATCTATTTCATGTTAAGCACCTTCAGTGTTCAACAAACATTTATTGCTATTTTTATTGCTACAAACAGCTGTGCTGCATAAATCTGCCAAAATGATAACCAGTTAGTATGATATCTTTGAAACACAGTCCCACCCCTGTCATCCAAAGCCACACCTCCTGAAACATGAAGGCGCACACCTTAAAGATGACAGTAGACAACCCACTAGATTTTGTCATTCACCAGTTAGAAAAAATTCCAGTACTTTATAATACTACACCTCTGAGTGAAAAACTCTATTATATCTAGTACGTTTTCAGTTGTGTAGCAAACAAAACTTTTCATAATGTGCTACATTTTGTTTTTCTCAGTTGCTTTGGTGCATTTCTCACAACACTATTTACATTTGCACAACAGTTAATGCATTTCTCAAAACAATTAGTCATTTGTGCACATCATAGTAGCAGTTTCTCATTCTTTCCAACAAATTGCAAATGCTTTTGGACATGCATCAAATGCTTTCATGCAACTCTCTGCTGTTTCATAACATTATCATTCGCTTCTGTCATGTCAGTCAAAATTAACTAAACTTGTGAATGCTGAATAATCATTCCATGTAAAACTAATAGTCCTCATTTTATTACTTGAGTCATTACATACAAAAATGATGAACCAGTTGTCAAAATCTGTCTAGCAAATTTTATAAAATATAAATAAATCTTTTTTTCCTAAAAATGTCTTCTAAATTGAACAGTTTGATGAATGATTTACAGACCTATGTATGTTGTAGGTTCAGTTCCAATATGTGCTGAATTATTGTTTACAGTTGTGCACAGTTCTTCCCAAAGGGAGTTTATGTTTGTTGTAAATAAGGGTGTATTTATTCTTTTGCACAATACTGTGAATAAATTAGAATTGCAAAGAGCAAATGCAGTAAAAAAGTGAAACACATATTCTGTGTCTTGTATGTCTAACTTTACAGTAGTTTTCAAATATCTGTGCAAACAGTATATAATGCTGTTTTGAGCATTTTCAGTGGACTTTTTGCATTTGAAAAAAACGTCATGATGAAAACATGACAAAGTCATTTGACTATCTTGTTCATAAACAGTGTCAGGACTTTTCGTCTTGATGACACTGACATTTCATTGACATGAATACTTGCTTTTTAGGAAAGAGCTCTCCATTTTAAGCTAGTGACAGGCTTTTGCAGGATATTAGCTAGGTTTTACAGTTTGTACTAATTGTTTTAAGAAAAGCATTAACTGTTGTGCAAATGCAAATAGTGTTGTGAGAAATGCACCAAAGTCACTTAGAAAAACTGTAAATGTCTTTGTCACTTTTTATCACTTTAAAGCACAGGTGTCAAAGCCAGGTCCTCGAGGGCTGCAGTTTTGCAGAGTTTAGTTCCAACCCTGCTTCAACACACTTAAGCCAAGTTCAGACTGCATGATTTTCAAAGTAGTCGTGTCACAGATGTTTTCACACTGCATGACTATCTGGGGCAGCATTCCGATGCTGCTGTGTTTACACTGCAAGATTGATCGGCGACAGGAGGTTCATACTGCATGACCTCATAGGAAGAATCGCCAAGACAACTTTGTCTCGGTCTGCAAACTATGTCTCACAACCGCAAAAAGTGACATGGAAACAACGGAATGTCACGAAGGCCTAGTATATCTCTGTTATTAACTACATAATGAGAAAGAAGCATTTAGTAGGGTAGAAAATACTTATTTTACTCACCTGGGCTTTAAAGGCAATTTCAATCAAACTTTTTTCTTTTTTTCCACCCGGTTGTGGTATGTCTCAGATGACACGTCAAACACACTGCTCCTGTCAAATTTCCATCAATTTTTCCTTCATTTCTTGGGTCCAAACATACAAAAAAGAAGCCCTTAACTTCTTCCCTAGCCTCCTGCTGACCTGCAGATACCCATACTAGTGGATGCTGCTCTCTCATTGACTGTAGGTAATCACAGATTTCATTTTTAATCAGAACACATTTCGCATGGCATGATTTTGAATCACCAACAGCTCCAGATATTTAGCATGAAAAATATCTGATTGGAGTCTGCAACTCATTGGCGATTCTCTCAGATCGTGTCTTTGATAGTTTACACTGTGTGATTGTCACTAAAGTTAACGAGCACCGATTTGCCTGTGATTCGATAACTGTCTGCGATTTCTCAAAACCTGGCGAATCTAAATCTGGGCTAAAATCTGAACTTTGCATTACCTGTATGTTTTAAACTAGCCCGAAGGACTCTATTAGTTTGATCTGGTGTGTTTAAATGGGGTTAAAACTAAACTGTGCAGAGCTGCGGCCCTCCAAAAACTTGCCTTGACACATGTGCTTTAATGCATCCTCGATGAATAAAAGTTTTTCAGACCTGAAACTACTAACAACTCATTCATTTCAAGAGTTCACACTTAGCTGATGATTGATTATAAGCAAGTTTGGCATGCTGTCCGGGGAGAGAGCCCTGAGCTCGAAGGTTCTTGAGCCCTGGGCTCCCTCCCGTTTGGAGGAAGAGAGGGGAGCCTTGAGCTCAGGTAGATCTCGACAACTCCCCCTTGATAAGAGCTGATGACTAAAAATTTAATGCTATTACAAGATATGCTGCGTTATAAGATTACCTGAATTGCAAATTTAGATTTATCAATTTACTTGTTGTGCATGTTTTTGGAATGTGGGAGGAAACCGGAAGACCCGGGGAAAACCCACGCAAGCACGGGTAGAACATGCAAACTACACACAGAAACGACCACCGGCCTGTTGAAGGACTAGAACTGGTGACGTTCTTGCTGTGAGGCGACAGTGCTAGTCACTGGGCCACCGTGCTGCCCTATGGAGGGAAAGGTGAAAAGGTAGGGGTGGAAGGGGGGATTCTTCAAATCGAAGATGACTGTAGTGAGAAAACCCTGGCTCTTTATAGTGGTTAGGAATGGCCTGATTGGTGGATCATGCATGCTAATCCAGAACCAGCCGTGTTCAATCATAATCACGTGCTCCTCTCGAAATTAGTTTATGAATAAACTTCACTTATTCATTTTCTTTTTGGCTAAGTACCTTTATCAATCAGGGGTCGCCACTGCGGAATGAACCACTAACTTATCCAGCACATGTTTTACGCAGCAATTGCCCTTCCAGCTGCAACCCATCTCTAGGAAACATCCACACACACTCATACACTACAGACAATTTAGCCTACCCAATTCACCTGTACCGTATGTCTGTGGTGCAAACCGTAGCACCCGGAGAAAACCCACGGGAACGCGGGGAGAACATACTAACTCCACACAGAAATACCAACTGACCCAGCCAAGTCTCGAATCACCTTCTTGCTGTGAGGTGACAGCACTACCTACTGCGCCACCGCGTCACCCTACTAAGAACTATTCATTATATTATCTAATATTTTCTCAGCTGAATGTCTGATTTTAAGAGATTTTCACCTGAGGGTTGACGTCCAGGATACATGTGCGTCCAGTGTTCACCACCTCATGGATGGAGTCAATTTTAGTACCATAGAGGTTTCCGTCGTACTCTCCGTGTTCCAGGTACCGTCCCAATTTGATGTCAGTTTCCATCTCAAGACGGGTCACAAATCTGTACGACTGACCATCTCGCTCGTCATTGCGCGGCCGTCGAGATGTGTCTGAGATATTGAGACAATACAAACAAGATTAAGGGTTATTTTGCTCTGTTTTTTGATATTTTCTTTGTGTATTTTGAGCTACTCACGTGGTACAGTGGTGCCAAAGCGGGTGGGATGCAGTACAACTAGTCTGTTTTTCAGGCTGCGGCGGCCCACTCCCTGCGCTCCAATCAGAATGAGGGTTTTCCTCTGAAACGGTGGCATACGAGCTACCTCTTCATAAATCTGAAGCTCGTGACGGTCAAACTCTGCGGTATAACCAGATACGAGAGCAGACACAATAGATTTATTTAGAATGGGTTAAAGGGTGCATATTCGTTCCTTCATTCATTTATTTATTTATTTTCCTTCAGCTTAGACCCTATATTAATCAGGGGTCGCCACAGCGGAATGAACCTTTAACTTATCCAGCATATGTTTTACACAACGAATGTCCTTTCAGCTGCAATCTAGTTCTGGGGAACATCCATACACACTCATAATTGAATTAAAATTTTATAAATTTAATAACACAATATTAAGAAGAAAAAGAATTTTGTTTGAATAATTTTTAAAATTAATTTTCAAATATATTCATTTACAAACCCTATAACCCTTACCAAAAATAGAACAAAACATTGCTGTCAATTACTTCAGTCTACAATAATAATAATAATAATAATAATAATAATAATAATAAAAATAATAATAATAATAATAATTTAATAATAAAAAATAAAGGTCAGGTCAAAATCCTCAGCAGTAAATAAATGGAGAAATTTTAAGCAAAAGTTACAGTAAGGACAGTGATTAAATGCCATTTTTAAATAAAAGGATAAAAGTTTTATTGAAATTGGGATTGTTGGTGATTGTATGTTATTGGCTAGATTGGGTAGCTATACATGAACAAGACATATTAAGACCTGTTTAAAAAAGATTAAAGACCTACAACAACATTTCAGTAGATTTAAGACTTTTTAAGGCCTAAAATTTAGCTTTTGAGCTACAAGACATTTTAAGACTTTAAGACCTTGCAGATAACCAGATATATTAAACAAAAAATAATAATATCCTACTATGTATATATTATGCACTCACAGACACAGACTCTCTCTATATGCTCTAAAACATGGCATTTAGATTTTTTAATTTCAAAAAAGGTCCTCTAATAGCTCACCACAGTTGATTTTATTTGATAATATAGCAAAACCATTGATAGTAACATATTATTACAATCTGAAAATACTCTTTTTCTATTTGTAATATATTTTAAAATGTATTTTTTATTGCTGTGAGGATGGTAAACCTGAGCTTCTATCAGTTATCACTTATTCATTCTAATTTGGTGCCTAAGTGACATCTCTTATTTTTATGAATGTTATTTCTGTGAAAAATCATGATGTACCACTGTTTAAAAGTAAGAAAAAATATTATGCTTTTTTAAATTGCACTAAAAAGAAAAAGGAAATGAAAGCCTATTTTTAATTTAACAAAGGCAAACTTGTAATTTAACTTATAAATGACAGCAAATAAACTTTAAATGTTATTAATATAGGGCGAGGCAGTGGTGCAGTAGGTAGTGCTGTCGCCTCACAGCAAGAAGGTCGCTGGGTCGCTGGTTTAAACCTCGGCTCAGTTGGCGTTTCTGTGTGGAGTTTGCATGTTCTCCCTGCCTTCACGTGGGTTTCTCCCACAATCCAAAGACATGTGGTACAGGTGAATTGGGTAGGCTAAATTGTCCGTAGTGTATGAGTGATATGTGTGAATGTGTGTGTGGATGTTTCCCAGAGATGGGTTGCGGCTGGAAGGGCATCTGCTGCGTAAAAACTTGCTGGATAAGTTGGCGGTTCATTCCGCTGTGGCGACCGAGGATTAATAAAGGGACTAAGCCGACAAGAAAATGAATGAATAAAAGAATTAATGATAAAATACAAAAAAATTAAAAAATACACACACTGTACATATACAGTTAAAGTTAGAATTATTGTATCTCTGAGCATATCTGATAATATTTTTTCTTCTGTAGAAAGTCTTTGTTTTATTTCGGCTAGAATAAAAGCAGTTTTTAATTTTTTAAAAACCATTTCAAGGTAAAAATTATTAGTCCGTTTTAAGCTAACTTTTTTCCGATAGTCTACAGAACAAACCATCAGTATACAATAACTTGCCTAATTACCTTAACCTGCCTAGTTAATCTAATTAACCCAGTTAAGCCTTTAAATGTCACTTTAAGCTGTAAAGAAGCGTCTTGAAGAAGATCTAGTAAAATAATATTTACTGTCATCATGACAAAGATAAAATAAATCAGTTATTAGAAATGAGCTATTAAAAAGATTATGTTTAGAAATGAGTTGAAAAACCTTTTCTCCCTTAAACAGAAATATAAATACATAAATAGAAAAATATTTATTAAAAGTTGAAACAACTGCTTTCTTATTGTATGTAGCTTCAAATTAAATGATTACTCCAGTCATTATTTATTTTATTACTATTACCATAATAATAATAATAATAATAATAATACTACTTAATATTAGAGTGTTTTCTATCTGCTCACCTGCATTTTTGGCAGTAAGGTACATCATCTTTTTCTTCTTTTTACCAGTCATTGTTCCACATAAGATTCCTACAAAAAGAGAAAAAAATTGAGTGAGCAAAAAGTTTTTTGTGTAATGTAATGCTACATGTGTCCACTAGATGGTACTATGGTTGTATTTTCTGTAGACTTGTAGCCACTGTTCATGTGAATTATTAAAGCCAAATAAAAGCTTATGGAATCTATGGTTTAAACATACATACATGAACTATAGTGCGTCACAAAAAATAAATACCATAGTTTTCACCAATTAACTTGTTAATTCTGCAAATCATAAAATTACATGGCATATCATATATCAAAAATCTTTTCTGTTTTGGTGACCGCAGTGTGTTGACGAGCATTACCTGCTCCATCCAGGTCTCTAGGAACAAATGCTTTCCTCTTTTCCTCTAGAAACTGACTGGGAATCAGCCCAGTGCCTCCTTCTGCTAAATGACATGCCTGTCAGTTAAAAGAATATAGTTAGTAAAATAAAACCAAACCCAACACAAATGAGTCAGTAAAAGCCATGCTCAATAATCAGACCTGCCACCAGTTGGGATCTTCTCGGTTGACAATCTGCAGAATATCCCCCCGTTTGAAAGCAAGTCCTGCTTCTCTGCATGGAATTAGATTATCGCTGGCTGGATTGTAGTCAAAATGCGGCTTCACATACACCTGGGAGAAATAAAACAGGTGAGATTAGACCAAACACTAGACAGCAATGATAAGTATATGATCACTAATAATGCACACCTCCAATTATCAAATAATCACATTTATGAGAAAATTTCTATTTTTAATTTTAGTTTTACCATTATTTAACCAGCAAGTCTCAAGGGTATATACAGGAAGCAGAGGTTAAAATTCAATACCTTTTAAGACCTTTTGTAAAACTCTTTGCATACATTTTAAGACCTCATCACCACTTCAGGTTTCAACCAGTAACATTGGTGATATTTTAACTTGCAGTATTTTACTATACTGATTACGAGAAACAAATCCTAGAAATAAAAACTATATATACTGAATAAAAATGTTAATCTAGCAGGAATACCTGTGTTTCCCTGGTTACTGCAGTAAACAAAGCAGCGTGTCGTCAAATCTAGCAGGATTTTTTTTATTTCATGAACTACACAGCATCCCAATATTCAAAGATTAAATTCAGGTATACTTTAGCATACTAATACCGAATTTAATATCTTGTAAATAGCATTTAAGACTTTTTAATACTTTATAAGGGCCTTAAATTTCTCTAAATTGATTTATCAATTTTGTATAGTTTTTAAGACTCCGCAGACACCCTGACAGTAAAACATTTTAAAATACATAAACCCCACATAACAACATTTCATCAGTCCACTCAAAAAAAAAAAAAAAAAAAAAAAAAAAAAAAAAAAAAAAAAAAAATCGCATGCTTCCAATACAGCTCTCTTTATGATGCTTTTAAATTTACAGAAAGACACAATTTTATTTAGTTTCAAGTCTTTTTGCAACTTATTCCATGCCCAAGGTGCACAATAAGCAAATGCAGTTTTACCCAGCTCAGTAGAAATTCCAGGTATATTAAAAAGCAAACACTTGGAAAAGTGTTGCTGGTAATTCCCAGAGCTAACACAATAGTTCTAATCGTTTTCATTTAAGTGACTTAATTTGAAACAAATTGATAATTTTAGTTTCATAATTTTAATGTTAGTAATGCAATTACATACTGTATTCCAGTTTTACATTTTTTAGCATTAGTACAACATAAAATGATCCATAATTGATGCTTTATGTATTTCCTTCTTTTACTGACACAGAGAATAAGAGGACTTCATCATTTCAGTAGGTAAAAACAGAAAAACAAAATGAACAAATAATTCATTTCTACTAAGGGTTCATGCACTGTAAAACCCAACAGTCAAGTTTATCCAATGAAATGAATGTAGTTTACTCAAAATTTACTGAAAGTTAATTTGACTCATTTGAAAAGAGCTTGAACTCAGTGTTGAAGGTAATGAGTTAATTAAATACCTCATAACTTCAACTTAAATGGAGTAAGTTCACAGAACTCAGATTCGTTTTTTTTTAACTCAAATGGTTTGTAGCAATCGGTTTCCTCAAACGGTTTTGGGTTTTACAGTTCTCAGTTGGTTTGAGTTCTCTTCATTTATTGGGTTTTACTGTGCTCAAATTGCTTTGTGCACTTAAATGGATTAAGTTCACAGTACTCATTAGGATTAGTTTTTAAACTTAAATGGGTCCCACTTTACATTAAGTGTCCTTAACTACTATGTACTTGCATCAAAAAATAAATACAATGTACTTACTGTGTTTATAATGTATTTGAGAACACTTGTGGTGCTTTTGAGTTGGGATAGAGGTTGGGTTATGGACAGGTTTGGTGGCATGGGTAGGTTTAAGGGAGGGTTAAGGTGTAAGGGATGGTCAACAGTGTATTTACAAATGTAATTACAAAAGTTAATTACAGATGTAATTACATACATGTATTTAATCAAGCATAAGTACACAGTAAATACATGTATTTATACAATAAGTACATTGTAACAAACTATTAATTCCTGTGTAAGTACATATTAGTTAAGGCCACTTAATATAAAGTGGGACCGATGCTAAAAGTCTGTTTCCTTCATTCAAAGAAAAAAAGAAGATATTTATTTACTTTTGGGGGGGGGGCGGTTGCTAATAAATCCCATCTGGGATCATGTTTTTTTGGTTTTGTTTTCGTAAGGGCAGTTTGGATTCAGATATCCTTAACTTTACATAAACTCAAATTAGACTAGATATTAAGCATACTGACTGAATTTCCATTGCAAATCTCCAGGATTTTAAGCACCGAGGATGAGGGGATGATATAATATTTACATAAACTTACCCATTGCTTTTTTGGACGATGACAAGAAGTATTGTTTTAGGTCCCAGTGTCACATGTTTTTACGTATTAAATCATAACAAAAATATTAATGCTATTAACAGAATTCCTTTCTAAAGCCCCTTAAATACATTATGTGCACAGAGGGTGAGATGTGAGATACGGAGAAATCACCAGGAGCCATGTAATGAGATTTTTGCGTGTGTGCATGTCTTGCCCTAGATAGCATGTGGAGTGTTATTAATATGGCTCTCAGGGATCTTTTTTTACAACAAAGCATCATGGGATTTCACAAATGGCCAAATGCAAGCTGAATATCGAGGTCTAATGCTTCGGCATGCACACAATATGTCTTAAATATATATATATATATATATATATATATATATATATATATATATATATATATATATATATATATATATATGAACTGCATAAATGGTATGAAAATGTAGATCACTCCCTATGCAGTTCTATTTAAAATATAATATAAATGTGTTTAATAAGTGGGTTTGGAGGGAATTTGGTGGGTGGATATTTTGAAATGAGCCATTAAACTGACCACAAGAACCATACCCATACCAGGTCCGCCTCATAGCCAGTCTGGTGAAATCGGTGGTTGTTTTTTTCTCAAAATGTGGACCTTTTTGAGGTTATTTACCTCATTTTCTATTTAATTAAGAGGTTTAAATACTGCAGTTTAATGACATTTTAAGCACTGTTTTTGTTTAAATAGCTTGTCTGATGGTCACCAGAACCAAACATTTTGATGTACCAAAACATTTCCTTCAAAATGTAGAAAAAACATACTTTAAAATACTAATTTATTACATGATTTATCATTAAAAGAAAAATGGGTTTCATAAATTTTTTTTTATTAAAAACTGTAGCTTATTTGTAATTTATGAGGCAAATAACAGTCTGGTCAGCACATTCAACTTTCCTCAGTTAGAATTTGGTTATTTGAATAAACAAATAAGCAATAATAATTTAGAGCTTCACAATTTTTTGGGATTTTGCTCTTGTAAAAAAAGTTACATTGAAATTGAATGGATAACAACAGCCAGATTAGTATTTAATATAGGCTGCAATTGGTGCTTCACACCTTTTTATTGATTCTTTTTTGTTTTGTAAAGAAGGTCCAAGATTTGGAATAAAAGTTACTTGTAAAATGTTTTCTCTTTTTAACAACAATACAATAGGTCAGTAGTGAAAGAGGACTTTACTTTCATAACCCAACAGAGGATTCCACTTGGTCTCAAATTAAAGCCTTCTTCACTGAGTTATTGTCACAATTTATGATGGAATAGCAGTCAAAATAGAACAAATGAGCTCATGTATGGGGCAAAATCTGTCAGTGGAGGGTGGGTCTTTTAAATGGGGTATAGTCAACTATACTGAGCACTGTATATTGATCTATTTTTGACCCATTCAAAAATACATTTTATTGGTCATTCTAGATTTTCTTTTATGAAAAGCAGTAGAATACCAAGTTAAGATCATGCTCCATAAAATTATTTTGTTTATTTACTGTAAATATATCAAAATTTTTCATTAGCAACGTGCATTACTAAGCACTTCATTTAGACTATTTCATTCATTCATTCATTCATTCATTCATTCATTCATCCATTTATTCTTCAATTTATTTATTTACCTTGCCCATATATAGCTGATTTCGTATAGATGTATCTGGGCCAAATATTGTCCTATCTATAAACAAATCTTAATGTGTTTTATATTTTGTTTTTCTGTGTTGAATCCTTGTATTTTGTTGCATGTTTGATTTCTTTGTTGTTGTAGCGCTTTGGGTTTTAGAAAATTGCATTATCATCATCATCATCATCATCATCATCATCATCATTATTATTATCATCATCATCATCATCATTATTATTAATATTATTATTATTATCATTATTATTATTATAATTATTATCAACATTATTATTATTATTATTATCAACATTATTATTATTATTATTATTATAATTATTATTATTATCATCATCATCATGATTATTATTATTATTATCATCATCATCATGATTATTATTATTATTATTATCATCAACGTTAATATTACTATTATTATTATTATTGTTATTATTATCATCATCATCATCATCATCATCATCATCATCATCATTATTATTATTATTGTCAACATTATTATTATCATCATCAATATTATTATTTTATTATTATTATTATTATTATTATTGTTCTTATTATTATTATTATTATTATTATTATTATTATTATTATTATTATTATTATCATCATCATCATCAATATTATTAATATCATTATTATTTTATTATTATTATTATTGTTGTTGTTGTTCTTATCATTATAATTATAATTATTATTATAATTATTATTATTATTATCACCATCATCATCATCATTGTTATTACAATTGTTATTATTAATATTATTATTATTATTATCATCATCATCGTCATTATTATTATTATTATTATTATTTATGGAAAGCTTGTATATTTAGCTATATTTAGCTTAAAGTGACGCTCACACTGGTTTTGTGGTCCAGGGTCACAGTTGCTCAGATATACTCATTAATAACTCATTCATATTTTACCTAATACATTGGTGAGCAAACAAGACTTCTATCAAACATTAAAAGGATCTTACAACCAGTTGCATGTATGGTTATTATTTTATGCGTACCTGTGGTGGTGCTGGAGCGTCTCTGTAACTGGGTAATATTTTGAGTGTTATTCCTCCACTACATTCTTTGAGCATCTCCTGTAGCTCAGTGGGATTAGTGCCAACGTCCTTCCCGTTCACTTCCTTAATGATGTCACCCACGTGCAGAAGCCCCTGCCTGTCAATCAGCCCTCCGTGGAGGATGCGAGCAATCACTAGGTCACCCTTGTCCATTCGGAAGGTCACACCCTGAGATACGACAAATAAATATGGGCAAAATATTAAAAATGGCCCAAAAAACTGGTTGTAGCATCATAACTCTTTAGGTTTAAGTAATGCCAATCACAACAACCTTGCATAGCTACTTCAACACTTGCAGTTGGGCAGTCATAAAGTTACTTGTCAGAGAATTTGAAAGGTAAGTCAGTCTGACATATTAAAATTAATTTATCACTAATAAACATTTTAGAAGCATATATAATTAAACTTACAATCAAACCAAAGGCTTATTATTAAAAATATTTTGGCATCCTCTTTCAAATAGAAACTAAATTTATTTATTAATCATGATGTTTTGTCATTGTGTGTAGAAGGTCATTGTGTGTAGAAAGGGCTGGTTAAGCTAAAATGGGCCACAATTTTAAGTTAAAATGGGCTGCACACACAAACACTTATACACAGAAACTGAGCGAAAATATGTTTATATTCAGAGATATGCATCCATAAAAAAATGTAAAAGACAATGATGTCAATTTACTGTAAAAGATCTGCCAAAATGTTCTGTGATATTTGTTTTTATATTGGCCCATTTCACCTAAATGTTTTACTGTGAAAGTATTCCAACTCCCATAATTTTAAAACAAGTGCACTTTTCACATGAAAAGAAACCTTATACTTTGTTTAAATATGAAATCATGTGTTTATAAAATTACCATTAGATCTTGTACAGTTAAATCAGTACAGTTAAATTATTAGCCCTCCTGTTTCTTTGCTTTTACCTTTTCAAATGTTTCCCAAACTATGTTTAACCAAGCAAGGAATATTTCATAGTATTTTCAGTAATAAATATGTCAAATCCCAGCACAGTCACAGTTTTAGTTTGTTTGTATTAAAGAGCCTTCTTTAACATGTATTGTTCATTTTTTGTTTGAAATTAATTTTACATTTGTAATTTAGCAGCACAAAGTTTTAGTTTGTTTATATTAAAGAGTCTTCTTTTAGTATTTCGTATTATTTACTTTTTATTGGGATTTTGTTTTAAAATTGTAATTCAGTCAATGCAAAATATTTTAATTAGTAAAAAACAAACAAATGTTTTTTTGCATTTGAGAAAAAAAAAGGGTGTCTTAATTTTGTTTAACTTATTCTCCGCAAATCTATCTCAAATAAATTTGTTAAAAAAATCATAATAAACCCGTGTATCGTGAGATTAATATCATGAATTGTATCGCATTGAGAGTCAAGTGAATCATTACATCTCGTCTTTCAAATATAAACATTTAATTTAATAAGAAATCATGATTTTGGGGTAAAAAGGGTAATTTTATGTAAGAGGGATTGGTTAAGCTAAATGGGCCACAAGTTTTAAGATAAAATTGGCTGCATACACAAACACTTAAACACAGAAACAGAGCAAAAACAAGTTTGTATTCTGAGATACAATTGAAGTCAGAATTATTAGCCCTCCTTTGAATTTTTTGTTCTTTTATACGTCCCAATATATGTCCCAAACGATGTTTAACAGAGCAAGAAAATTTTCATAGTATGTCTGATAATATTTTTAGAATAAAAGCATTTTTTTAAAACACCATTTTAAGGTCAAAATTATTAGCCGCTTTAAGCTATAATTGTTTCAACAATTTGCAGAACAAACCATCGTTATGCAATCTTCTTCTTCTTTGGCCTTAGTCCCGTATGGTTGCGGGGTCGGCTCTTTGGAACAAGCCATTTTAGACTTGTCCATATAATAACGACTTTTTTTTACACATTCCTGTCGTCTGGGCCTGTCACCCTCATACACTATGGACAATTTAGCCTACCCAATTCACCTGCAGCATGTCTTTGGACTGTGGGGGAAACTGGAGCACCCGGAGAAAACCCACACGAAGGCATGGAGAACATGCAAACTCCTCAGCTGAGGTTCTAACCAGCGACCCAGCGACCTTCTTGCTGTGAGGCGACAGCATTACCTACTGCGCCACAACCTCGCCCAAACCATCATTATATAATAATTTGCCTAATTACCCTAACCTGACTAGTTAACCTAATTAACCTAGTTAAGCCTTTAAATATCACTTCAAGCTCAATACTAGTGTCTTAAAAATATCTAGTAAAATAGTATGTACTGTCATCATGGCAAAGATCAAATAAATCATTTATTAGAAATGAGTTATTAAAACTATTATGTTTAGAAATGTGTTGAAAAAAATCTGCTCACCTTTAAACAGAAATAGAGGAAAAAAATAAACAGGGGGCTAATAATTCTGACTTCAACTGTTTGTATCCATAAAAATGTTTTGCATACAGTATGAACAGAAACATACACCTATACTGTACAACATGATAAGTTATTTTTATTGCATTCTTATATGACTACATATAATGATTGCACAAGACTAAATATAACTTTTTATTTAATTATATAAATTATGGTGTTGTTGCTATATGACACAGTAAAGACAATAGTGCCAATGTACTGTTTTAAAAATCTGCCAAAATGACCTGTGGTGTTTTCTTTTCATAGTGGCCCCTATTACATGAATGTTCTGCTGTGACTGTGTAAATGTGGAATCATATGTTCATAAAATTATCATTGTATCTCATGCATAGCTTATTTGATGATACAACAGGTTATTTATCAAAACGTGGCTCATTGTGGCAAATAACACATTTAAATCCGTGGATATTCAGACTGGATATTGACTGACACAAACCCACCAGAGGTTCTCCAGCTTTCTTGCGAATCCCAATCATCCTGACCGCATCAGCCTGCATTAGAGCATTATTTACTGCCGCATCATTGGTCAGTTCAGGAGGGGCCGGGGCTTCATAGCATTTTGATGCCACCATGTCATGGGCCTCCAAAAGAGACTGCAAAAAAGCAGATAAGGAGAATAAAATACTGTAGAAAAAAAATGTGTTGAAGAAAGAAATACAACAAAAATTAAAAGGCACAATCATGGAAGGTTGAGAGTAGATCAAAAGTTCAAAATAAGGCAAAAAGACTGTATGAGGATGTAAAAAGAAGGTATGAGGTGGTATGAGTTAAAATGAAAAACGTCTAATGACATTATCAGACAAGTCTAGATGAGGACGTTCACAGTGAGACTAAAGGAGAAGATATGAAAGGACATGAAATGAGAGAAACAGACAAAATATGAGACAAGACGTAGTAAAATGAGAAGATAAGTTGTGTGATTAAACAAGAAGAATGAGAATTTATAAGATGAGATCAAATGAGACTAGAGGATACAAGATAAGAAGTGTCAAGAGAAGGCATGATAATGTCAAGATGAGACAAGTAAAGAATTTACTGCGAGATTCAATGGAGCTACATGAGATGGGAAGAACCTGAAGGTTGTTTATTGTTATTGCCATGTCAGCATCCAAGAAATACCTTCATGGCAATGAGACCAGAAAGCAACATACAAATGCATTGAAACGAGGAGATAAATATTGACATGAGATAAAAAAAAGAAGAGGTACAAGATGAGACAGGAAAAGAAAGTTGGAGATCAAATGAGGAGATTGAGGGGATGAGATGAAACGAACGATGACATGAGACGAGATCAGATCAGATGAGATGAGAAGAATACAGATGAAACTAGATGAGAAGACAATTGATGAGATGAGACAAGATGAAATTAAATGAGATGGGATGAAACAATATGTAATGGGATAAGATGAGACAAGACAAGGGTACAAGAAAACATTGCACCTGAAAATGGGGCTCCTGCAGGATTTTGGAGAGCTCAGCAGCGCTGTCATCTCGCACACTCAGACCACTGATGTCACCCAGAATGTCAGTCACAAGCTCAACGTTATTCTCCTGCACTGCTTCCAGCTTCACATCCTCCAAACGCTCATGAGCCTGAACACAAACATCTCATTTCATCAGTGCAAACATGAGGGCAGATTTATAATTCTGCCTAGTAGCACCTCTCTGAGTTAAACACGAATCAGCATAACATGAAAGAGACTATGTGACTTTCTTTGTGTCCATAGTGAGTGACACAAGTTTAATACCCAATAATTGTTCATATAATTCAATCTTAAAGTGATAGTTCACCCAAAAATGACATCTCTGGAATCATTTACTTACCTTTCAAATAAAAGTTTCTTTCTTGTGTTGAAGGATGTTTGTTGATACAACCCATTGACTTCCATGGTTTTTGAAATCTTGTGAGCACCATTAACTGGCATCCTTCAGAATAACTTATTTGTGTTCTTTTGGGTGAACTATTACTTTAATCAGTCACAAATGACATGTGTTCACCTCATTAGCATTGGAATCAACAAGTGAAGCATGTTCGTGGAAGTGAATAAGTAGTCAATAAGTACGATCAACCGGCATCCTTCAGAATAACTTTTTTTGTGTTTAACAGAAGCAAGGTTTTGAAAAAAACACATGACAGAGAGAATACAGTGAGGTAATTTTCATTTTGGGGGAACTATTCCTTTAATCTGGGATAACAGTTTATAGTTCAGATATAAACACTGATGTTTATGGTAAAGATTAAAATCACCATTTGAAGGAACTTAACATGGTGATTGTTGTAGCAATTACATTGTGTAAGCAATAGGTGGCGACAAACAACCATCAAAATTATGTCACTGAATAGGTTTTCAAAAATGATCTACCTATAATGAAACATGAAGTTTTATATGTGAATTGTTCAATCATTCATTGAAAATAAATATGATATGTTCTACAAGATGTTAGATTTCTATATTTAGCATTATCAGCAACAGTAGCAAAGAACATTTTTCGTAATGAATATTTTCCTATTTTTCAGCTAGTTCTTTCTTGATTTATGTTTTTATTAAAATTACAGGTTCTAAGTTCTGTTTTGTAAAACCAATGGTTTTTGCAGTAATAGTTTTGTATAAATGGAAAGCAAATGACATTTATCTCCCCTTTTTTGCGAATCCAAAAAATGATCTGTGACTCAAAAATCGTAATGTAATTCGAACCTTGAGTTTTTTGATACATTACACCACTGGTCTCACCCACAAATGACATGCGTTTACCTCATTAGCAATTAAATCTGGAAGAGTGAAACCTGTTTGTGCTTTACCTTGGCCAGCGAGCGGACAATGGGACTCTCCATGATGCCTTTGAGAAAGATGAGGTCAATGTCTTTAGCCCCGGTGGTGGAGGGCAACTCGCCCAGGTTATCCAACACCTGCTGCATAGCTGAACAAACACAGAGAAAAAAAGTTACGACACAACACACACTCCATCGACATGCTGAGTAAAAAATGCAAAAGATTACCCTGCAGGATTAAGTAAGCTTCGCATCACATTATTGGATTGCTGAAATGCAACACCGCCTTCCACAATACTACCATCTCCTTATTGTACATGTTTAGCTATTCTTTTGTCTTTAGTGTTCATTTGATCTGCTGAGGTCATTTCCTAGAAGTAAACTACTATAGTATTCAGTAGTGTGTATGTTTACACAGAAGTTAACAATACTATCACTTATAAAGTAACATTATGCTAGTTTCTCTCATGGCTTCCCCTTGTGATTGATAAGTAAAATTGGCTGTTACCAGTGGCGTAAAATTATTGTCGCGCTTTCCAGTGTGCAGCTGAACTGATTTTTTGACTAACCCGACAAAACTGACATACACTGACACATTGTAAACCACGTACACCTACCAAATTAAATAGCTGGTGTAACACAGTGTACTGTACACTATGTTCAACAGATATTATCACATAGCATTGAGTTGCCTCTTTCAGTTCACACCATTGAATGTAATTCGGTCTGATACAAATCGGTGTTCGGTCTGCTATGGCATTTGTGTTGGTGTTGGTACTATATAGATCATTTCACCTCACAGTTAGCTTTTGGCTAATTCCACCTAGGCTATGAAAGCAACATGAGACGTGCCTTAAAACAGATCACACTGTTCAGCTCATAGACATACACTCACCGGCAACTTTACTAGGAACACCCGTCCCATTGCTCGTTAACGCAAATTTCTAATTAGCCAATGACTTAGCAGCAACTCATTACTGCATTTAGGCATGTAGACATGGTAAAGATGATCTGCTGCAGTTCAAACCGAGCATCAGAATGGTGAAGAAAGGTGATTTAATTGACTTTCAATGTGTTGTTGGTGCCAGATGGGCTGGTCTGAGTATTTCAGAAACTGCTGATCTACTTGGATTTTCATGCACAACCATCTCTATGGTTTACAGAGAATGGTCCAAAAAAGAGAAAATATCTAGTGAGCGGCAGTTCTGTGGGCACAAATGCCCTGTTGATGCCAGAGGTCAGAGGAGAATGGCCAGACTGGTTCCAGCTGATAGAAAGGCAACATTTACTCAAATAACCACTCAACAACAAGCGAGGTATGCAGAAGAGCATCTCTGATTGCACAACACGTCGAACCTTGAGGCAGATGGGCAGCAGAAGACCACACTGGGTGCCACTCCTGTCAGCTAAGAACAGGAAACAATTCACACAGGCTAACCAAAATTGGACAATAGAAGATTGGAAAAAATGTTGCCTGGACTGATGAGTCTCGATTTCATATTATGCATATTTTCCTGGCAAACTTTGGGCCTATTAGTACCAATTGAACATTGTGTCAACGCCACAGCCCACCCGAGTACTGTTGCTGAGCATGTCTATTCCTTTATAACCACAGTGTACTCATTTTCTGATGGCTACTTCCAGCAGGATAACGCGCCATGTCATGTTTAAGCGTAAATCATCTCAAACTGGTTTCTTGAACATGACAAGGAGTTCACTGTACTCAAATGGCTCTCAATCCAATAGAGCACCTTTAGGATGTGGTGGAACAAATCTGGAGCTACTGCTGATGCTGTAAATATAAACCAAAATCTCTGAGGAGTTTTTCCAGTACCTTGTTGAATCTATACCATGAAGAATTAAGGCAGTTCTGAAGGCAAAAGGGGGTCTAACCCGGTACTAGTAAGTTGTACCTAAAAAAAATGGCTGGTGAGTTTATATCCACCTGTGAATACTCATCCCGAGATAGTGCAGTGCCATCGATATGATCTAAGACCTGTGAAGAGATGATGCCAACCATCGAGGACCTCAAGGACAACACATACAAAGAGATGATGCCAATCATAGAGGACTTCTAGAGGTCTCCATAGTCCTGGACCAGGCCATACCCTGAGCAGATGCTGTGGTAGTCATGGAGGAGTGAAGAGCATGAGACTCATTCCTAAAAGACCCTAGTGAGAGACAAATCTTTGCATTGATCCCGTGGGCCAGCCTGAACACAATGGACGTCCAGCATTCTTCAGCCTCCAGTGCCTAGACTGCAGCTCTGCACAAGAAGTTTGGCCAATATGGGGTTGCTCACCCAAAGTTGTGCAGTTTTCAGGTGACTAAAGAGAGAACTGATTGCCGCAGCAGATGCATTCATCTTTTCAAAATATATTCTACCTATGATATCATTTTAGAGGCATTGGGTCTCATTGACTAATAATTACATACTTTTTTTGTATTAAAAATATTTATCCTAAAACATTAAATAAATCTTATAGACAGCAATAATAAGTAAGCAACTTTCTCGAGCATCAACATATTGATACAACACCAATTTTTATAATTGTATTTCTTGAAAAGTAAAGCTTTAGTTAACGATCTGCTAGATAGAACCGTATAATTCGAAGCAGAAAATGACTTTTCAGAATAAAAAAATTAGTTTGCATTTGCCTTGTTTGTTTTACCTCAACTTGCAAATGTAAGAGAATTTCGAGAATTTGCATTTAGAGTACATTTAGGGTCTCTGTCATGATAAAGTATAAAAGAGAACTGTAACACACATATTGTTTGCTATATGGTGTGCAAAATCTTTGAAGCTCAATATCTTAAAATCTATCAGAAGAAAGATAGTACCTTATAATCCTAAAGCGATGAATTGGTAAAACAGATGCGTTTACTGGATCAAAAAAAACAAAAACATAGAAGCAGTACTATTGTTTTAACTTTAGTTGGGAAATTAACGTTTAATAAAAAATAGAAAATAGTACTTTTTAATCATATGAATTGTAGAAAGGTCAAAATTAAACTTTTTCAATCTAAAACTGATACTTTTATAATTAAATATTTGAAATGAAAAAATCTAATTATTAAATTTATTTTAAGAACACCTATGATGAAAATCAACTTTTGCAAGCTGTTTGAACAGAACTGTAGGTATAGTGTGTCCACTGTCATGTTGAAGTGATATAAACCCAACAAGTGTCTTTTTTAAAAATTTCCTGACATTAAAATAGGACCCAAATTCAGTAATTTTGAAGCCTGCCACAATGTGATGTAGATGTGAAGTTTTCCCCACCCACCTAATTGATTGACAGGTGCCATGTTTCTATAATAACACGTATACAAGTCTACAGAATATTTTTTTCAAATAAACTAGGATTCAAATATTTGTTACAACTCTCAGTGATTTATATAAACGTTTTAGGAGTTTAAAATGTTTTTAAAATAGAGCATGTTTGTAATTTATACAGTAAAATTACTACGTAATTCTTAACCAATATAATTACCACAGCCGTGAGTAAATGCTAATATGTGTGTTGGTGTGCGTATGCTGCAAATGGCATTTGTGTGAGACTCATTACTTCAGAAAGGTTTGAATAAACTCCACCACAAATACATGAAATAAACCTGGATTTATGAATGGGCATATAACAGTCATATTCTGGGGACACCAAATGCTTATCTTGCATTGTAAAGAGGGTAAAATAGATGCCCTTTGAACATACATAAATATTTATCTACTTATTTTTTATTTGTTTAAAACATTTCAAAAGATTTGTGTAGTCACACAGATGGTAACAACACTGTCTAACACAGTCATTGACAATTCTTCTTCCACACACACACACACACACACACACACACACACACACACACACGCACACACACACGCACGCACACACGCACGCACACACGCACGCACACACGCACGCACACACGCACACACACACGCACACACACACGCACACACACACGCACACACACACGCACACGCACACGCACACACACACGCACACACACACACACGCACACACACACGCACACACACACGCACACACACACGCACACACACACACACACACACACACACACACGTCTGAGGCCAAATACTCAGTGAATCATGTGACAACACAGGTCTTAGCCTGCAGTAGTGTAATCCATCTGTGACAGTAGAACAGCACAGAGAGAACGTGTGCTTGCACATTTCCTCTTTATCAGGAAGCAGTCGAGACCAACAGATCAATATTAAACATCAGATCACTTGTTCAATTCCACTCATTTAATTCAGGTCAGACACTGCTGTAGTCCTGAAACAACCATCAGCAAGCTTTAACACTGTGCTACTGTTTATATTCTATATCAAATATTTCAGCAAAATGCACCCCGGGGCCCTTATTTGGCTGAATACTAGAGTACATAATGGATGAACTGACAGCACTATAAACAATTGAGGAGAAAATGAAAGACAGCATACACTAAAAAATGAGAACACCCAATTCATTTTACCATATGTGTCTGCAAACACACAAGCACACACGGTTTAGTTAAAACCCCCTTTCATATCTGTCAAATTTTGCAAGCAGCATCTCCATTTGGTTTGTTTTAAAGAGCTAATTAGAGACATTAGGACTCTGTTTGACAGTTAAATTGCAGTTTGGGGATGTACTGTGATTACACGCCCAAAGATTCAATTTAATGTACATTCCAAGCAAACAGTCGCAGCTAAAATGCTTCTGAGTAACACACGCTGGCTTCAAAACAACATGTTTTCTAATAAAACAAATAATAGAATATAAACAAATTTTTTGATAAAAATTGAAATGCTATTTATGAAATATTAATTCAGAAAATGCAAACTCTTTAAATGTATTACATACCACATAAACAATTCTTTAAAACAATTTTGTTTAGTATTTGGTATTAAATTTCAAAACTAATAACAATAACAACAGAATTGTTTTTATAGTAAAACATACACCAATAAATATATCACAATATTATATTGTTTACTTCAAATTATTTCACTTATTATGTGCTGTAACAATAATTTTGCATACATTTAATGGATGTTAAAGAGAAAAAACATCTCTAATGAGGCAAAATTTAAAAATATATATTTCTATGGTCCTTTAAGGAATAGCTCATAAAAATATATATTATAAAGCAATTATTAGGTATGCTCCGATCAGGATTTTTGCAGCCGGTACAGATTACTGATTCCTTGTCATGGTGATCGGCCGATATTGAGTACCGATTCTGATATTTCAAGCTTTATAATGCACATTTTCACTTCAAGTATGATAAGATCTCGCCTTACCTATAAGATTAAATAAAGGATGTTGCATATAATCTCTTAAACATGTCTCTTATAACCATTTAGTGTGGAGATGTCATGGTCAGAACGAGCTTTACAGAAAAAAATAGATAAACTGACAAAATTGGTAGGAAAAATTATTGACAATGCAATTTAGAAACATTACAAACCATGGAAGAAGAATTCAACATGTCTCACTGAAGAAGTTTGGAGTGCATATTTGATACATAAGATGTTAAAATGCACATCTATAAATATATTGCTTCTTTACTAAAAGGAAATGTTTCAAAATGTATTAAAAAAAAATGTTACAGCCTTATTCTAAAATGTATTACATTCATTTATTTAATCTAAATTTTACACACAATACCCCATAATGACCATGTAAAAAGTTTTTTTTGATATTGTTGCAAATTTATTACAAATAAAAAACCTGAAAAATCACATGTACACCAGTATTGTCAGCCTTTGTCATGAAGCTCTACATTGAGCTCAGGTACATGCTGTTTCCACTGATCATTCTTGAGATGTTTCAGCAGCTAAATTGGAGTTCACCTGTACTAAATTCAGTTGATTAAACATGATTTGAAAAGGCATACACCTGTCTATATAAGGTCCCGGGGTCGACAGTGCATGTCAAAACACAAACCAAGCATGAAGACAAAGGAATTGTCTGTAGACCTCAG